GTGGATGGGTGAGAAATTGATCCGGGGGTCGGAATGGAATTCCGAGAGTTGCTGTAGCTTCGTTAAGTGATTTGGGATATGTGTGCAAATTTTCAGGTCATTCGGACATCGTTTGGTCGGGTTTTTGATCGAAAGTGCATTTCGGAAGTTCTTAAAGAACTTAGGCTTGAATCCGATGTGAATTGATGATTTTAGTGTTGTTAGGTGTGTTTTGATGATTGGAGCAAGTTCGTATGATGTATTGGGATATGTTGGTGCCTTTGGCTGAGGTCCCGGGGGCCTCGGGGTGATTTCGGATGGCTAGCGGGATGAAATTTGGACTTGGAGACTTCAAATGTTGCTGATATCTGGTATTCTCGCTTCTGCGAGTCTTGGACCGCAGAAGCGGACCCGCTTAAGCAATGGGTTGACCGCAGAAGCGGTGAAGAGGCCTGGGCGCCTGGTTCCGCAGAAGCGTTGGCGTAGCCGCAAAAGCGGAATCGCTTATGCGATGTTGTGACCGCAGAAGCGGTTTGGTTCGAGAGTGGGATTTCCGCAGAAGCGGAAGGAATAGCGCGGAAGCGATCCCGCAGAAGCGGGATGGGGACCGCATAAGCGAAAGTGCTGGGCTGATAATTAAATATTTTCCTCCGCGAGCTAGGTATTATTTTCCCCCATTTTTTGAGCGAGCTTTGAGAGCTTTGAGGCGATTTTGNCGGGAAAAGAAAGAAGAAGGACGCCATCGGCATCCCCAAGCGCTTTGCTTGTTTTCTCGCTATCCGGTGCACTCTAAGGAAGACGCCATGTGATCACTCCATGCTCGGGTATGGGGAGTCTCGCATTAAGACTCCAAATTTTCTTTTTGTGCGCAGTGAACGGGGTCGCGTCATGGTCTACTATTTTCGGCCTCTACTCCGCGACCTCGAATAACCGTTCGAAATCCGAAACAAACACAGCAACGCCTCTGTTATGGTTAAATGAAACAAATAGAGGCAGAACGAAACGAATCCTTAAAGTGTGATTCTAACGACTAAAAATATGAGAGAAGAATAGCCAGGACAAGAGTATAAAAACGGCGAGTAAAAAGGGTTTAAAGCGGCCAGCGAAAGGTGCCGAAAATCTTCACCAAATCTGGTATTTATAGGTGTAAACTTAGGGTTTTCTGGAATAGAGTTTGGGCGGGATTTCGAGTTGGGATTTCAAAATCGAGTCAAAGAGCCGTTTGAAAAAGCAAATCAAATCCTTGATGTTGATTTCCTATGCAGCGAAATCAGATTTTCTGGAAAGGAATTTTGGCTGTATGTGTTGAACGAATCATTAAAGATACGTTGATGATTTATGGGGCAAAACATCTGAAGTGCTAAGATGCAAAGAGGAGGAAAATTTTCACCAAAATAGAGTGACATGTCTCTGAGGAAGCAGAGGGAAGAAGACAAGAAATGGTTGTTCGTACATAAATTAGGATTAAGCACAATCTGATAGGGTGAGACGCCAAAACGACGTCATTTAGGGAATTTAAGAGGCTTCTTAGGTTGGGCTACTGGGTGGACGAATTGGGCCATAGAAATGGGTTATTGTGTGGAAATGAAAGAATGAAGTTGGGCCTTCAATAGGCTAAATTTAATTGGTCTTTTTCCAATCTTCAAATTATTTCTTTTGAACTTCGTTGTATTGAGATTTAAATTTATACACTGTATATGTATGAGAAAATTAATATTAAGTAGATATTAATAAATATTAAAGTAACAAAAAATATTAGTCACGGTAATATTATTAATAACAACAAACACAAAATAAAAATATATAAATAATAATAATAATAATAATAATAATAATAATAATAATAATAATAATAATAATAATAATAATGATGATGATGATGATGATGATGATGATTGTGATAGCAGTAAAACTAGTAATTATAATATAATAATAACAGCAATACTAAAAGAAATACTAATGCTAATAAAAATACTACAACTAATACTAATATTAATACTAATGATAGTAATAGTAATAATCGTAATAAAAGTAGTAAAAATAAGGTGTTAAGTTTATTAGTAACTTAGAAGCTCGGGGAATTAACTGGAAGAAAGGATGGACAAAGTTGGATGTCAACAAGTTGTGCTGATACTACACTCTGCACTCTTTTGTGCAGAGCCCAGTGTTGTAGATTTCGGACCGTAGTGAGATTGCTGGATCTTATTCATCAAGCGACCCGAGGTAGCCCTGCAGGCGTTCGCAGGCCCTGGCGTCTCTTTTCGTCTACTTTCCTGTTTCTTTCATGCATTTTCAGAGACAGTGTTGAATTTATTTCTTTCAGACCTTTATGTGTAGTATTCTTAGACCGTCTATGAAACTGTGACACCAGTTCTGGGTAGTCGAGACTCAAACAGTTGTATTAGATATTCATGTTCAGATATAAGAATTGTTATCTTCCGCTTAATTATTTAAAGTTTCGCTGTTTTCAAGTTATTGCCTTATATTTGTTAAAAAGAAGTAATGTGATAATGAAGTAAGTAGCTAAGGATTGGCTTGCCTAGCTCTCATTAGTAGGCGTCATCCCGACTCCCGAGGGTGGGAAGTCCTGGTCGTGACATTCTCACTCGGGGACTATCTACGAAGCCTAAAAGAGCTAACTTTATTTCAAATTCAATACCTTGCTATCACTATACTCGGACTCAGGAGTCCCGGTGGCCCGAGCCCGCATCAAATCAATCTAAGCCTAGTTCGAGGATTAATAAAGAACCTTAAGGGGTATTATATCAGTCGGTTAAAAACCTAAGGGTTTATTATGTTCCGGGTCCAGTATTCGAACTAATTGTTAGAGTTATACACTCGGGTTTTCCACAAACGAAGGCAGAATGGAATTCAACACAAATCGAAGATAAAATTGAGAAATTCTTATATTAAGAAAAGATGTTTACAAAGCCCACAAGGGACCCTTACACAGAAACAAAGGAGCAAAAATAAAAGCCAAGAACCTAATATACTTTTGGGGGCATATCCTCGAAAGCGACATCTTCGAGAACCTCCTCCTCGGGGACTCCATCTCGATCTTTTGAGAGAATTGTGGCCTGGTGAAAAACTTGGCGAGTATGGGTCTTGTCAGCACAACTATTGTGAAGCCACTTCTTGAGACATTGTACCGGTGTGGAATGCAAAAGTTAGTAGATGATAGTTCCACCTCATTCCATGGAAAGCAAAAGGAATGAAGCGCCACACTAGGTTGAAGTTAAGAGAGATGAGCAGCAGTGTAAAGTTCGCATATCTTCCGATACGGGAAGAATTCGGTGCCCTTCTCTCGTTGTTTCGAGCCAACAATACCAACAATAACAACAACTCAGTGTAATCCCACTTAGTGGGAAAAAGTTTTGAAAAAGGGAGCCATGACATAACTGGTAAAGTTGCTGCCATATGACCTTGTGGTCACAGGTTTGAACCATAAAAATAAGTGATCAGAGAAAGAGATACAAAAGGGAAAGGGCTAATAGTTGATGAAGAAGAAGTGTGTGTAGTCTTTGTTCAGCCAAGTAGCGCCTATTTATAGAAGGCCAGTGACGGTTCGGTGGCACAAGTGGCCGACCAATGCTGGCATACATTCACTGCTTTTGGGGAGATGGACCGGCGGCGCATTCAATGTTTTTGGGAAATGGACCGACATTACGTTTCGATCACTTCAGGCGCCTACGTCACGAGCATGACGTCATCGCGAGAGGCTCGGGAAAATCGAGGTCAGAATCGTTTCTTATCATCTTATTCTAAGAAACGCAGGGACTATCTGTATACGGTCAAAATCGAGGAATACGATTTTGAAGTCTTAAATCAGGCTATAGGCCCGAGTCCGGGAGACTCGGAGTGGGTGTCGTATCCGGCTAAGGGACACCTACCTCGAGGAAGCTGATCGAATGCCTGGCACGGACTGCATCGAGGGCAGCATTGTCTCGAAGTCAATCAAGAAAGAACGGGAATTTCTCAGGGACATGTGGATTTGGGCATTAATTATAGGATAAGGGTTGTACGAAATTGTACAGGTCCGTAATAGGCCGTTATACACCTGTACCAATAGAATTCTTTATCTTTATGAGCAAGGTACTATATTGGGGTTTTCTCCTCCAATATAAAAGGGGACCCCAATCATTTTGTAAAGAACAGATCATTCGCTGCAATAGAACATTCTTATTCTTCTCTTGTTTAACGTGCTTAGCAATTGTTCTTCAGTTTTACTGTCTTTACTTTATTGTTCATATTTTATTGGTCTTAGCTGACCTCGAGGTCCCTGATAGACGAGCTTGAGGCCCCTACTGTTCTGATAACATTGATTTGGTTCATTATTTCTTCTTACTTAAGCTCAATATTACTCATATAATCACTAGTATTAGAATATATCACGTATCTTTAAAACCACAAATTATCTTTAATTGTACTCACATTTTTCGAGGTAAACACTGACCCGTATGAGTTGCATAATGCCTTGTCAGCTGAATTTTGCATTACAAACTTTGTAGCTTTCCATAACAAAGTAGTGTACACATCCGAGAGTTTACAAATTGAGCTACATCCATATTCCGTGCATACATGACACGTCCAAACGACGACAGCGTCTTCACTTTGCTTAGCTATATATATTGTTACTGCTACTACTGTATTATAAATGGGGTGTTAGCAACGTGTAAGGGTCGATATGCTTAACGACTTTGGTGGAATTTTTGCGTTTTCACTTCTCAAGTTATTTGTACTTGGCTGCTTTGCACATTAAAATCTGAAAGTTGGACTTACGCTGCATTTCGGGCAAGTTTGATGAATAGGCCTAGAGCGGAGAGAGTGTCTGTGTGTGCGCGTGATTAGAGTGAGCCTGAAGTAGAGAGAGGAAGAACATACTCAGCGCACACTAAGAGGGAGGGAGGGAGGGAGAGAGAGGGGGAGGGAGGGAGAGGGGGAGAGAAAGGGAGGGAGGGAGAGAGAGGGAGGGAGGGAGAGGGAGGAGAGAGAGAGAGAGCGCCATTAGAGTGAGCCTCAAGTAGAGAGAGAAGAAGAGTATCCTCAACAAGCTGAAGAATGGAGTGGAAGCACACAGAATGAGAGAGTACAACAGCAATGGCAACCTATTTCGTGTCATCTAAAATAAAAATCTAAAACATTAACATATGGAAGTGATATTACTCGAAAGCAACAGTTCCTTTTCTTTTCTTTAACAAGAATACATCTATTCCCGATGGAACACTGACATCTGACCAGGTATAATTCTTCACATTTGACCATTTTTGTCGACATGTAAACTAAGGTTGAAAGATCGGCACTTCCACTTCAAAAATTCCTTATTAGCATGATGAACCATCCGAGGCAAGTAATTCATTTCATTTTAGCGGCTGCAGTTCTTGATCATGAGTAACAGTTTCAACTCTTCCAACTGGTCCATATGGAAGAGTGGGTTCTTGCCTCCGCCTCCATATTAACCATCCAACTGGAGCTGATAATCCAACTACCAAAACAACTAACGCAACCACTAGAACCAAGTAATTTCCCGGCCAAAGCTTCCTAAAACATTAGAACCATGTCAAATCACCAAAAAAAAAAAAAAAGCCCCCAAACCAATCTAAATCCCAGAAGCGATTACAAGCATAAGAAAAACCGTTGATGCTCGTTTATGAGATATGACAAAGGTGGGACCCACAACGACAACGTATATAAGAATATTTTTAAGAAGAAAAGCATGCATAACACAGAGAACTGACATAAAGCAGTGACAAGCGCAAGATGTTGCTCAGGCATTATCTGCTTTACCTGTATAATTCTGTCAACATGTGCTGCTACTGTTTTCTGCGAGCGAGTTAAGGTATGCATAGGCAGTCTACGCATGGGGTGAGTAATGTTCTATAGATAGTGACAATTTATTGAATAGGTATGCCCATGTTAACAGATACATAGGCCAGTTAAAAGATACACTGTAATTCTCACCAAAATATTCACGGACAATGTAAAAGGACACCCCTGCTTTGCACCTAGTTTTGTGATTCCAATAAATCTAGATTTTAATGCAATATTATCACTAATTTCACTGTTCTTGCAATAATAACACAAGCAGCACTTAACAAAAACAATGTTATATGAGAGACACACTCTTTAGGGAAAATGAAAACATAAAGGAGGAGAAATAAAACAAAGTGCCACATCCTCAACAGTAGGGGTGGCAAAATGGTTCAAAGAAAACAGTTAACCACCCATATTATCCACTAAAAAATGGGTTGGATAATGAACTTTTTAAAAACGGGTCAAATATGGATAAGAACCATATTATCCATTTAGAAAATGGATAACCAATGAGTAATCAATGGATGACCAATGAGTCTAAATTTTACATTTGTAAAGCCTCAAATTTGGGGTTCCTCAAGCTAGGGAGACTAAGAATTCTCCCAAAAGTGATCATATGCAAGAAGTCATGGATAATATGGGTAACTCATATTATCCGCCGGTTAACCCGTTTTTTAACCGTATTAAATATGGTTCAGGCCGGATAATTGATCTGTTTTTTTCATTACTCGCTTTCGACCCGAACCATATCCGAACCAACCCGTCCGTTTGCCGCTCCTACTCAACAGGTAATCACTCCATTTGAAATTAGTTAAAATTAGTGGTTTTCAATATGGGCCTCAAAAGATGCTGTCCAATTTCTTTACACAATTTTTATAATACAGCTCAAAGCATACATCCTATTAGAGTCCCTAATATCTGAAATTCACAATTTAAACTATGGCCTAACCTTTTATTCAACTTCGTATTGACCATTTTACTAAAACTAGAACTGGTCAACTGGAACTAGGAATACACGTTAACATATTTCTTCTTAGAAATCAAGCTAAATCAATCCTCCAAGTATTCAATTTCAGTCAAATCTGATAACCAGTCATCGTTGTGGCTGAAAAAGTATACTTCTCATAAAATACTAGAATCAATTAAGATAGCATGACCTCTTTTATGCCTTCATGTCTATTATATAACAACAACAACAACAACGACCCAGTAAAATCCCACAAATGGGGTACAGGAAGGTAGTGTGTACGCAGACCTTACCTCTACCCCGAAGGGATAGAAAGGCTGTTTTCGGTAAACCCTCGCCTCAAAAAGACGAAAAGAGACAATATATCAGCAGCATCAACAAAAAACCATAGAAATAATAACATCACAAGAACCAGTAAATAGATGGAAAACAAAACTAATAACCAGTAAATAAGGCCCGACACTATGAAAACGGAAGAGTAGTGTAAACACAACATTGACCACTAGCAGTCTAAGACTAAATCCTATCAGCCTAGCGTCACACTAATAGAGTAAATGTCTATTATATAAGTTCCATAGAAATAGTTTAATGTTACAACGTAGAGAAGTACTGGACAATCTTGTTTTCTGTCTGGCCGAATTTACATGGTAATAGTCTAGCAATATTTTTAATGAAAATTTCAGACAATCTCTTCCGAGTTACTTTAATGTTTGTAGAGAAAAGAGGATAAACAAGAATGCAGATACCCAAGCACACAAAATCATCTTAACCTGCACAAGCAAGCTTTAACCGAAAATTGTAGGAAAACTGTGACAATTTAGCAAGTCAATTTCACCACTTCATATTTATCTCCTGGGGGTAGTAGAGCTTTCCTTACTTCATACCGGGGGTGAGGCGGGGTGGATTAGGGTTGATCTTAGATGGCTTGCAGTTTATGTTGAATCCACACTATCCTTGTTGTTTATCTTAGCCCCGGACCTTAGATTCTGGTTACTGTTATTGCATGTCATTCATCTTTTGGTTGTTATGCTTCTGTTACTATTACGGTTTCTACAGGAGTTACTAATGAATTGTCGTTTCTTGTTTTTTATTTCCGTCTTTCTGAGCCGAGGGTCTATCGGAAACAGCCTCTCTGCCCTATCGGGGTAGAGGTAAAGTCTGCGTACACATTACCCTCCCCAGACCCCACTTTGTGGGATTTTACTGGGTAGTTGTTGTTGTTGTTATATTTATCTCCCGGAGAAGGAGATGGAACTAACATGGAAAAGGAAGGGTAAACAACACTAAAAGAGAAAAAAGACCAGTAAGGGGGAAGACAATCGGATGAATTAGTGAGAGAGGCAGCAGTAATTGCTTGTATACCTTTTTGGTGGAGGTTCAGTGACCCAGTCAAACAATTTATAACTTCCGAAGGAATGCTGTAGATGGGGATGATCTTCAGCCAACCTGCCTATTATTTCCTGCGTACAGATATCAATGAATAAATAAACATTCTTCAACTCAAAGGATAGCAATACATATTCTAGAATGCTGAGTCACCATTGCAGTGGCATTTAGCATATAGTCTGCAGATCCTGCTGGAAAAACGGCCCATTTAGTGAGGGAATCATTTCCCTTCGTTGAAAAGTTCATTAAGCGAACCTGCAAGGTAAGTGACATTATCATGTGTAGGAAAGCTAACTGCACTTGCTTGAAAGCATAATCAGTCCAATCCAGTGAAAGAGTTGAGTTGCTGAAGGTTAGTCAATCTTTGATAACTACTCTAACCGATGGTTATAGAGGATTCGTACAGTTTTCCAAACTTTGCTTGAGATTAAGGCATAGATGAATGCCATATCAATTGTAACAAAGTTAAAACTCAAGACTAGTTGAGTAACATAAACAAAACTAGACATTCATAGTTAAATTGCACCACGATAAGATAAGGTAAGCTTTCGGAGGCTCTAGTATTGAAGAACCAAGCTATACCATACTAATAAAAGAGGTCTTCTGAAAACTAACTTCACAAACTACTAGTTCTGCACAGCCCTTTTCTGTGCTATTGTGCCATAGGTTGTCAAAACTTGCTTCTTAACGCTTGAGAGAAAGAGAATTTACCTATTCAACCCCCCCCCCCCCAAACCCCCAACCCCACAAACTTCTATTAGAAGCTCTTACTTCTCATTCTAATTTGGACTACCCTATAGCAGCACTGTGAAGAGAGCCCAGTTCTAGACCCCTTTAGAAAGAAAAAATATCTGAGATATTCAGCTTATGTCAAAATATCGGCAGCTCCATAATGCTGTTTGATTAAATAAAAGTTTACTTCACAAAAAAAAAAAGTTTTTGCCAAAATTATCACAATAAAACCAAACTACCTGTGAGACATTAACATCCAACTCTTGGGCAATGAAATGGGCAAGTTCTGGAATGCGAGGCTTCAACTCTGAGCAGTTGACACTTAGTGACAAGTAAAATGTAATGAGCCCAACTTTAATTTCCACTGCAAGTCGACGTAAAAGATGAATGTGATCACAACCATAAGTCTTTGTAATGAATTATCTAATTTCAATAGCCATCATATCTGCACCGAAGCCTAGCTCAAGTTTGTGAGAATAGATGTAGTGAAGTAGAAAAAGGTGACTAATACTTGCAAAACTAAATTGAAATCTTGAAAAGTTTTACAGCAGATAAAAGTCAAATCATTTGAGATTATGCAAACCATTGAAGAGGTACATCAAATTGAAATAATACAAAACAGGGCTATGTTTCAACAATGCAAACAGGAAATATTAGGCAGGAAATTTTTTGAGATTCTGTCATTCCTTTAAGGTCTTACCACAAATATCTCATGCTTGTCGTTGTCCAGTCACAAAATTCTCTAGAAATTTGACAATTGATTACTATAACTTAGTGGATGGGTTTTCAGATAGTCGGTATATGGTCAATGCATGTTCAATTGGCATCAGTTGTCGTAGTCCTTAGAAATAACTTTTTGGTCCCTTGATTATACCACATTTGTACTTTAGATCCCTTAACTATTCAGCTTTACACATTAAACCTACAATTTAACGAACTTTACAGATGTAGTCCAATAATAAACAAAACTAGCTAACCCACGACATATTCATATTTCAAGTCTCCTTTTTTAATAATACAAATTTTAAAAGGAGCATTAATGTTGTAAAAGTACCGTTGCCTACTAAAATATCCCAAAAAGATGAACACACTGTTTTGGAAATGGAACTCACCCATCACATGAGTTGCGGATTAACAAAATCTAAATGTTATAGTTCTAATATAGATCTGAGTAAATCTGCAAACTCGATAAATTAGAAGGCAGATGTCAAAGTCGGAGAGTTGGACTAAAAGTGGAAACAGGGGACCAAAGATTTTCTCAGTATTCCTTGAAGTTATTATAATAAATTTCCAATTTAACTAAATCTTTCTCAAACTACAAGAAGGCTGAGAATGCCGTGACATCAGTAAATTTTATGCAGGCAGTTGCTTCTTAAAAATTTTAAATACCAGGGAAACAAGATGATTACAAGACTAATTTCAGAGAAAGGTCAGATGTCAACTTGAATAGGATTATAAAAAGGGATCTTTACACAAATAGCCGGCTAATATTAATTGTTGACTTTTTCTAGCCATATACGTAGATTTTACACAATTATGCACATATAATACATAAATTATGCATTTACACAAATACCAGCATTCCTGGACGTAAGAAAGAGACAGAATGTTGATTGCCCAAAATGATCTAATAGAAAGCAACACATCAAAATCAGCATGATGCAATTCTAATTTTGATTCTCATTTTCATAAAAGAAACCACAAACCATAATAGTTCAAAATTGAAGGCAAAATTGAAAAGGAAATTGTATTAATCTATTAGAAAACAGAGCTAGTAGAGATGCTAAAAGTAAAACTAGTTCAGGTTATGACAGCATTCTAATGGGCAGAGTAACCTTACAGTAAAAATACTATGTGAAGAAAAGCTGTCTCTTCATACCAGGTGTGTTGTACCCAGGGGGTCCACTAGGAGCTGATGAAGGAGACAGGTGTGCAGTGGGGTTTGTGTTATCCAAGCTTGAGACCGATGGTGAAAGTGGAGATGGAGGTGGAGGGGATAAATTGAGTCTGTCCCATAACTCAGAACAATTAGTTTTCCAAAAACCAATTCTTTTATTTTCACGATCATAAGTAACAAGAGTGTTGCGAACAACGATTCCTGTTGCAATTAAAAGCACACATGTTACAGAACCGAAGAGCTAGGACGATGAACTTTGCCAAGTAGTTAGAAATACCTCCAAGAAGACTAACTGGATTCTTTCCATTCTGGAAAATTCCTAGGCAATAAGCACCACGTACTTTGAAGTGCTTTATAGCATACAAGTTACAATGAAGAAGGGGGAAATTAATCAACTAAATCTTAAAAAGAAAAAGAAGCCGGTAGATGTGACGCCAAAATAGTGTCGGCAAGATAGTTAAGAAAGAACTAAAACAGAATAAAATGCCTACCTGAAACAAGTAGTTTTCAGGAGAGAGAGTTAGTTTCTTTCCATCGCTGAATACCATATCGACATGCGGAAAGTTTTTTGAGAGTTCTGATATGTTGCTGGAATATATAAGATATTAAATAATAAGGGTAACACCAACAATAGGAAAAAAACAAATTTAGACAAGAAAATCATAGACGTCCAATTAATTTCGGAACTCTCCTTATAAATACCTTCCAGCACCAGAAAAGCAGATATCTTTAAAACTAGGATCTGGCCCTTCAATCTGTTTTAGAGAATGAAGCTCTTTCACTACCTGAAAAGAAAAGTTGAAGAGGTTAATCCCAAAAAGGAAAATACTTAAGTTTATCTAAAGATAATAGCCACAAGTTACATACTGTATAAATTCACAACCAGTGACTCCACTTTTCCTTCGCTAAATATAACGCAGCAAAAGCAATGAAAGACAACATCAAAGATATGCAGAAACTTGCAAGGAATTCTGTATATGTCGATAATTACTACCTGCTAACATCATTGGAAGAAAATGCTGTGTGGTGTATTACCAAATTCAGAAGTTTAAAACAGGAAAAATCAACTATTATAAGTGATTAACCAATCTAATTAGGTCCTTTAATAGCAGAGAAACTAACAGCAAAAGAAGGGATAGAGGCCATATACATAGCCTCCCTTTCTTTTGATAAAGTACATAGCCTCCAACTCATCACAGGTATGCGGAGTTGTAGGATCACAAGATACCTGGATCCTCACTTTTCTTCAAAAACATGTTCTAGTTATCAAAGTGTTAGCTCTCAAACTATTATTGACCAAGAGGTTTTAGTTTCAGTCCAGCTCATGTACAGGAATCTCCAACTATAGACTTGATCCACGTCACAATAGGACATGATGGTTTGTTTCACCAATCAGTGGTGTAAATAGAACTTTGAATGGCAGGAAAATTTAACAGATTGAGTTACATATAGAAAACACATTTCAAATGAATATCTTTTCACATCTAATTTCTTCTAGGACATTCTGCTCAATAGCGTGCTATTCGCCACTAGTCACTTTCTCAGGCAGAACGAATCAAACAAACAGACAGAAACATTGGCAGATATGTAGATAAACTATATCTTACAGCATTTTTGAAAGCTGCAAATGCTGCTTCTGGAAGGTAAGCATAGGTGGTACCACTATCAAGTATAGTCCCATGTTTTCCACCAAAAACCCGTGGATTTAGGTTCAGCGGCTTCCCAGCGACATGTATCTCCTTCAGGTCAATATTGTAGTACGGGCTGTTGCCATCCGAGACTAAAGTAAATGCGTAAGATTTATCAAGTGTATTTGCTAGGAGGAGACCTAACATCACTGTGTCTCTAAACAATTGTTTCCAATACATACCTGTGACCAAAATCTGATTTGGTAAAGTCCATGTCAGCAGGGGGTTTTACTCCACCAAGAACCATTGCCCCGCCACCAAAATCCATCCCTCCATAGCACAAGGAGAAAGAATCACTAATTACATGTTTTTCAACAAGTTGATCAACTATACTAAGATCACCTCGGCCCAAACCCATTATACCATCAGCACGTTGGCTGTAAAGATCACCAGTTTCTGCAATTTCACATCCAAAAACAGCTCGTTGTGGTGCAAGCTCACTTAGATTTCCAAAAGATATGATGTCCTCTCCAAGCAACCCATAACTTGCACTCATCTCAGCATACCGCCTCTCATAAATACATTGCTGCCTCTTATGGTCGCAGGGACAAGCCTTATTGCATTTCACAGATTGATAAGTGCTTGACATTTCCGGCTGAAACTTAGGATCCTAAATAAGACAACATACAGAGTACCACCGATCAAAAGACAGAAATCAAATGCCAAGCAATTCTAAGTGCTATATTAAGCATTTCTCACAAAATTAATAGGCTGACTCAAAGTAAAATTACTAGTCATGAAGTTGCTTAAGTGCTCATGTTTTCTCCAATTAGGAGATCCTTTATGACTACAAGGCAAATTGAGCAAGAATCACATTTAAAACATCATGAAACTATACAATGGATTTGTACAGCTTATCAACAAAGAGAGGGTTAGAACTATTTGTATCCTACTTAGATTGGTTTGTTCTTGTTTACCTATCCATGTCCTCTTTTCCTTAATCCTTATAAATAAATGTATCCTACTAAGCGATTTCCTTCCAAACAAAAAGTATTTTAAAGTAATGTTTATGACCTTACACCTACCAAAACACACAACCGAAAAATTAAGATAAATATGTAACCTTCAATATTATCCAGAAAAAGAAAAGAGGGAAAAAAGGACAAAGAGATAGTTGAGAAATGAGCAAACCTGATGGTTGCCACACTTTTTACACTCAGAGCAAGGGACATAGGTAACTGTACTCCCTGTATCAACAATAAGAGCGAACTTCTGCGGTGGTGTTCCAATCCAAATATGAGTTGTATAGTATCTGCATCACAAGTTACTTGGAATTCATTCAACAAAATAAAATATACTAATAAAGAAATTAGTCTGAACTAGAGGTGTAGAAATATATTCCACAGTGAAAACGCAAAATACGCATGTGAATCAGCAGCCAAAAGAGTTAGTAACAGTGAATTTTAATATTTCTGAGCAAAAGCTACGAATTCGAACCCGTTGAGGAGGAGATCATCATGAAGAGGCATGCGAGCGCTGGCGGGACTTTTCTGGAGGTGGCGACGGGAGATTTCCGCACGGCGTGACGTGTCTTTCGGAGGAAAGAGCGGCAGCAGCATGGTTGTGTGACGGCTGCCGCCGGCCGGCAAAGGGAGGAAAACGGAGCTGCCGTTAGTAACATCAGAGAAGCCGAAAACGAAACCGTAACGAATCAACAGAGAGATGAACGAGATGATCGCGAGAATAACGGTGAACTGTGACCGTGCCATTTGAGATCAAATTATCAGTAACAGTTGACCTATCAAAGTGTTGTTATTACAAAAATATAGAGGGATTAAGCTTTAAGCAAAGGCGCGAAGGAGATGGTAGTGGGTCGGTCATGTGTACGTTTGACTTCAGATATGCCATATTCTTTTTCTTTCTTAAGTCGAATTAATTACGCCTAGTACTTGCCATTCCCTTCTCTTTATTGCTATGCTACTAGGATTTATTTTATTGGTGAAATATGAAATAAAATTGTTCATAAGTTTCTGACTCAATCTGAATTAATGCACATTGTTTGCTTAAATATGGCCCTCTAGTACTTAAATTTCCAAATTTTGTTGGTGTTTTTGGCCACTATTTATATAGTAGCCATACCACTTTTGCTTAATTTAATAAAAATTGATTAAAGCAATAACAAATTCAGTGAAGGGAGTTGTCCACACGGACGACGAGGATTCGATCCACCCTCAATGCCTTCTGGGTCTGAGCCTGTCGTACGGGGCTTGCCTAGTGCGGTTTACATTCCATGTATGGTTTGCAGGCTATTACATCGTTGGGGGTTTATCCAGTGCGCACAGAGTGCTCACCCGAAGGGCAGGGGCAGTGACAGAGGCTGTAGCGACTGCGAGTTTTTCTGGGTTCCAGAAAAAATTCAGCGAAAGTTTGGGGAGGGTCAAATGTACGCAGCCTTACCCCTACCCTGGAGGACAGAGAGGCTGGAAAAAAAACGTGGATATGTTTCTTAGGTGATCTGGCTTACAATTAATATCCACACAATTTTATGGAATTAAAGGGCATCAACAAGTGATAAATGGTGCTTTTCTTGCAATTTCTAACGGTTTCAAGCCTCGGGTTAGGAGTGGCATTAAAGTTGACCCAGATCTCCATAATTTTATTAGCCTGCCTATACGTATTTCATACACTTTGCAATTCACTTTTTATTTGTAATTTATTGTTTAAACCGCTTGTTGACAATGTAAGAGCAAAGGGAGCACAGCACATGGCATCCAATATTAATGGTGAAAATAAATCCCATTTTTCTAAATCTGAGGTTATGTACCCATATTTAATTTGATACTCCATCCGGTCCAAAATTAGTGATTTTTTAGCTGCTTTCACACAGATTAAGAAATTCACCTTTTAGCATTAATTAGCAATGAAATTGACCATATTAACATTTGCTATCTCTTCACATAAATACTCCTAACACATACTCCAACACTATTTACTCCAAGGGCAATGTATAAAAAAAATAATTAATTTATTCTTGAAATCTGAAAAAATTACTTATTTTGGACCATAAAAAAAGGCCAAAAAATCACTTATTTTGGACCAGAGGAAGTACAATTGACCATCGTTGACCCTTGGATGGGATATTAATGCCACTGTGGATGAGACTTTAAAGTCCTTATTAGAGGAAATGGTTGAGTCCGAAACTTTTCTAATGATTTTTTGGACAAAAAACACATTTTTACTACTAAAAAAAAAGTTACGTAACTACCTAATTCGCAGTACTATACTGCGAATTACTTTAACGAAAATTTAGCCGTTAAAGTAATTCGCAGTATAGTACTACGTATTAGTAAAAAAAAAAATTAACTAATTCGCAGTACAATACTGCGAATTGAGTACACTCCGATTTTTGGGCCCAGCAATTCGCAGTACTATACTGCGTATAAGCAATTCGCAGTATAGTACTGCGAATTGCTTTAATAAAATAAGACTCCTTCTTCTTCCCCAAGACAATTCGCAGATCCCCCATTAAAAACAATCTCACCCCACTGCTGG